AAGGGGGGGGGGGGGGGGGGGGGGGGGAATAAGAGTGTTTTAAAGATGTAAAAGAGACAGACACAAAGGTAGATGAAAGGTGAGGTGAGTATTGTGAAAGTAGTCGAATGACATACAGTGGGGGGTGATAGTAGTTTTGAGTCAGAAGTCAACTCCCGGATTACAGACTTTTTTGCCGTATGAGTATGCGTTGTCGAGGGTGCACCACGTGGAGGTAAGTCTATCGCACACCCCTTTGCTCGACCATAAACAGTAAGGCATTGGCATTCACAAACAACCGTCTAGTAGCTCTTAATGCACGTTCAGCATGTAGGTTAGCATTCATCTTGACGCCATAGCTCTGTCAATATTACGTACTACAGCATCCAGATTCAGTATGGAATGCTGCTAGCCAAAACGGAGTAATGGAATTGGGCAACGAATAATAAGGACTTCGAGTATCGAATTTCTAGTTGTTTCACAACTAAGAAAGCTAGCAAAGCTATTCACAATAGCATTTTTATCAAACTTGACATTGAAATCAATGCGTGCCTCCCAAAATATATATATATATATATATATATATATATATATATATATATATATATATATATGCCTAACATTAATTTCATCAGAGATATTGACATAATTGGAAACCCGAACTATTTTTATTATGCGAGTACATTATCGATAGACCAGTTTCCAGTGTAACTAGTTTCGCGAATGTGCAACCCATAATTACGTCAAAAAAGCACATCAATTGCAACGTGCACTCAATCAAGCATACATTTTCTAAATACAAAGAATTGCGTGCTAGTGTTGTTAGATATGTGGTACTATATGTGCCTCGGTGAGGTGCCCAAAATATTTGTCTTCTTTTTCTCCGGCTTCGAGGTCTTATTTGTATCAGTAGAAATGACTCAATTTTGAGATTTAGGGCTACTAATCCCCTATTTCTGAAATGCAGGATAGACTGCATGCTTCGAAAATTTAAATAGATAAAAACTTTTGATGTCTGGTACTTATTTTTACCTACTTTTTCTTAGATCATTCTTTCCTTCTTATAATGCACATGTTTGTGTGAAATTTGCTTTCTTTTCCTCAAGTTGATTTGATCAATAATATGCATATTTCAAATGACAGGCGATTTGACAGCTATCATTAGCCCTTTAGCTGACTTCGAGCTTCACAGAGAGGAGGAGGAGCATCAAAGTGACGAAAAGGTCGAGAGGGGGAATAGAAGAGTGATCCACAGATGTAAAAGAGACAGACAGACACAAAGGTAGAGGAAGAGGTAAGGTGAGTACTGTGAAAGTGATCGAATATGACATACAGTTGGGTCGTGGTAGTTTGAAGTGAGAAGACAACTAACAGTTAATAGACTTTTTTGCCGTATGAGTATACGTTGTCCAGGGTGCACCACGTGGAGGTTAGTCTGTTGCACACCCCCCTTTGATCAATAATAGTAATAATAATAATAAATTATTTGTCACCGTTCCTTCAAGTCTTCATGGACGATGTTCTATTAATTTTTCATCTGACGGACATAGGATGTGCGTTATACAATTCAACATCACCTTAATGGGGTGTGAGATAGTCTTACCTCCACTTGGTGCACCCTGGGTAACGTATGATCATACGGCAAAAAAGTCTATCAACCGGCAGTTGACTTCTGGGGTCCGGTTCGCTTTTTGAAACTTTGAGATAAATAAGCTGACATTTTTTTTTCCTCCTCCAGGGATTTGACGAGTGATTTGCGTTCCGCTCGGTCTTATATAAATCAACTCCTCAAAAATACCTATACTGCAGCAGTCAACGGTCTTGGATTGAACAGTAAATCAGCATCACAACCACAGCCTCTCTTGCCACTTACCGTCTCCCGGCAAGGAACCAGTGGAAATCAATCCCGACTAATGATGAAATCTGGCAAGCCCGCGAGTCTCCTTCTGGTTGCTCTTATGATCTTGGCCTCGGCGACCGTTCTTCCCCTTCCGGGACTGGAATCTTACCCAGAGGGAGCTGCCGCTTTGAAGACTGATGTAGCTGCAAATGACCAAAGTGTACTTGCTGGTAATCCCCTTTCCCACTCGCTCATATTAATATGTGCTATTTAATTCCCTTTTTTGGCACCCCACTCCTTGGCCTTGTTTTAAATTTACGCAGATATAATTTCCAAGTTGACGAGTTTACTTTTTGCCAAGAAATCAATTAAAGATGTTCTAAACTACCTTTACGGTGAGTGCTCTTGTCTGTAGTGTAGAGACTGCTCTATCCAGTAACAATCATACTCATTCTTTTCGTTCGTTACCTCGAGTTTTTTGTGGAGGGGATTTCTGTGTGTGTGTGCGTCACAGATCCTTCATGACTGGAAATTTGAATTCCACCATACTCCTTTTAGAGTCGTCATTTCGTTCACTAGGTCCGTGTTAGTAAGAATCCAATCCAGGACGCCTAACATCACAGACGAGTACGTTGACCTCTGTACACCGGCCTAGTTTGGTAGTTTCGAACTACGGAATTTTTTTCGAGGCTTTACTAAGTCATTCAGTCATATTTCCGCTGTTGCAGTGGGTTCTTTTGGTTTCATATCTGTTCCATTCGATGCTTAAGTTAAGGCAGGTCCCCGTGTGAAGTGCGGAAGGTTATTTAATGTGTTATATTTTTACTTTCAAAGGTATAAAATACAACTGGTTGTTGTAGCATTTATGTTAAATGGCAGGCGTTTTGATAGTTACCATTAGCCCTTTAGTTGACTTCGGGCTTCACGGATGGGAAGGTACATCAAAGAGAAAAAGTCAAGAGGGGGGGGGGAAGAAGAGTGTTTCAAAGATGTAAAAGAGACCGACACAAAGGTAGAAAAAAGGTGAGGTGAGTACTGGGAAAGTGGTCGAATATGACATACAGTGGGGTGATGGTAGTTTGAAGTGAGAAGTCACCTGCCGGTTAATAGACTTTTTTGTCGTATGAGTATACGTTGCCCAGGGTGCACCACGTGGAGGTAAGTCTATCGCACACCCCTTTGGTTGTTTTAGCATTAAGCGTTCATTATCACTTCTCTGGATGCGTTCTCCATTTCAATTCCCTTTAAAGTAATTAAAAAAGTGGTCATTTTAACTTTGAATGTTTGTTCATGTTTTTTGTTGTTGTCTGATTCGCTTATTTGTGATTGTTTGATTTTCTGGTTAACAAGGTAGCAGGCTATCGATTTTACACCTTTTTCGCAACCACGTGTGTATTGCAGAGCGGCTTTCGCAATCGGTTGTCAGCAAAAGCACTCGAAACACCTCAAATAATCCCGCAACAACGCACCATGTAAAGGCGCATGATAAATCAGCTTGGTTGTTTTTTTTGTGTGTAATCAAGTAAACTCCTTTACATGCGTCGATCCTTCTCACTATGGAAGGTCGTGAGATAGATGTTGATGCTCGGGCCAGTTGTAGGCTTGAAAGGTCGTTCTATCTAGGCTAGATGATTATTAATCAAGAGCTGCCTGTAATACAACTAGACGGATGACTCTAGACTTATACGAGGGGGGGGGGGGGAAGGGGGAACAGATGACTGCTAAAATTCTGGCAGTAAAGATCTCCCTGACAAACGTTAAGGGCTAATCGAGGGTGTGACTTTGCTACTTAATTATAATTAAGGTCTATCCTGTTCTTCTAGAAAACGAATAAAATTCAAGGGTAAGAGAACAGAGGGACAATCCGATTCGACGCTAAGGGTCTTTTATTATATTCAGGACATTTTTTGCTTAATCTCAAATGACCATGACGTCTAAGTTGGCCTTCAAAATTTAGGATTCATTCGAAAGTCTTTTGCGTATCTTTTCCTGGGGTAATCAATGCCATGATGATCTGTGTAAATCACTTATTGTATTACGTGCAGTTGTTTTTATATCAAATTGCAGGCGTTATGATAGTTATCATTTTTGTTCAAATGGCAGACTTTATGATATTTATCATTAGCCCTTATACTTTGAATTCAGGTTTCCCCATGGGTAGAAGGTGCATCTATAGCAGTTCATTAGCTGTCTTCTTGCTTCCCAGTATCTCTGGGTTTCCGTCGTTGTCTTTAGGGCTGGACACCGAATCAGGTGGGTCTTCTCCATTTCCTCCTGTAGGTTACATAGAGGGCATGTGGGTTGAGTGTATACACTCAATCTGTCAAGGTGTTTGACCAGGAAAATTGTATACTCCCAATCTTTGAAGGTGTTTTGCCAGGCAATCCGTCGGTACGTAGTCTAAACTCAGCAATGGCTTCGATTCTTGGCTAGTCGGGTATGTCGGAGAGTGCCACTGTCCACTGTTTCTCTAGTACGTAGTCTAAACTCAGCAACGGCTTCGATTCTTGGCCAAGTAGTCTAAACTCAGCAACGGCTTCGATTCTTGGTAACCGTGTCAGGTACGTAGTCTAAACTCAGCAATGGCTTCGATTCTTGGCTAGTCGGGTCGAAGAGTGCCACTGTCCACTGTTTCTCCTTTCTTCGAGGTCGGAGAGTGCCACTGTCCACTGTTTCTCCTTTGTTCGAACATTTAGTTCGTTGGACCTTAAGGTCTTGAATTCTCTCCTGAATAGGGTCTTCATTGTGTGGAAAGACATCAGCCGGTCCATGCATTGCAAAATCGTTGTCCCCTTCTTAGCAAGTGTGTCAGCAAGCTCATTGCTTTTAATGCCACAGTGACCGGGAATCCATTGTAGGACCACTGTTTTGTTTTTCTCTCTCAGCAGCTCATAGAGTTTTTTACATCCGTATATCTCAGCTGTTTTGGGTGGCTCTCTGTTTCCAATTGAGTTTATTGCTGACTGTGAGTCCGAAAGTATCACCGCTTTGGTGAATTTCGTATCTAGGCAACATAATTGGTTTAGTGCTATTCTAATGGCCTCTATTTCTCCTTCAAAAGCGGGTCTATTGTGTCTCACTGCTGCGTAGAAAGAGAAAAGTTCAGAATAGACACCTGCACCGACGTTTGCTTGGTTTTCTATGTAAGACCCATCAATGAAGACATTGACATTGATTGTCTCAAGGGCCAGTGAGCGCATTTGTTCTGGAGGGGTGTTTGATTTTCTGAAGTAGTCAAGCAGTTGGGTGCAACACACTACATCAATGTCTGCAGATAGTTATCATTAGTCCTTTAATTGACTTCGGGCTTTACAGAGGGGAAGGAACATTAAAGTGAATAAGAGTTGAGAGGAGGGGAGAACAGAAGAGTGCTTCAAAGATGTAAAAGAGACAGACACAATGGTAGCAAAAAGGTGAGGTGAGTACTGTGGAAGTAGTCGAATAAGACACAGTGGGGTGATGGTAGTTTGAAGTGAGAAGTCAACTGCCGGTTTATAGACTTTTTTGCCGTATGAGTTTACGTTGCCCAGGGTTCATCACGAGGAGGTAAGTCTATCCCACACCCCAGGGTTCAATGAGATAGTGCTCTTTCACTATCGTAACTCGAATAGCTCCATTTATATATGGAGTTGAAGGTGTCCTCTCTTCATTATATTCAAGCACCAGACGCGATTATTTACTTGTCTTGTCTTTAATTAACTACGATGTATGAATTTTTGATAGGAGTTGAAAACATTGACCTGAAAGCACACCAATTCGTGCCAATTTCCCAATCGCAAAATGTCTCTATATTAAAAATCAATATTACCGAAAAGTGGGAACTTCTCTTCGGTAAGTGGTTAGGGGTCGACAATTTTAGGCGCTATACTCGTTTGATAATCTGAAGTTTGATTTACAATTTATTATTTTTTTTCTCTTTAATAAGGTGTAATTAAAGCATTAGCAGCTTTGAATGTTTCGGCTGGTGAGTCTTAAATGTGGTAGTTATGGCTGCTTCCTGCCTATTTAGTATAGAATCAAAATTTGTTGCCTATGATGCTTAAAATGTGATGGAATATTTTGACTTAACTGTAAGTCTTTGACCTCTCTCTATCCAAAATTGATGACTAATTTAGTTATATTGAAATAAATTATGTGAATATTGGAGGATTAGGCGCAAAATTTTTCACCTGAAAGGTGGTTTTCGAAACTGTGTTTGTTCTTTGCCGATCTGTGATCTTCATTTTGTTTTCCAATTCTATTTTACTTCATGTGGAAGTTAAACAATCTATTTGTATAGAAGTTGGCCTATGCCATGTTAGTCAAGCATTTTGGTGATAGAATGCTCTTGTCCCTCAAAAATGTTCACTGAAATAGCTTTTTCTAACCCAAAGTTGAAGGGATAATTTTGTGACCCAATTTCGTCTGCTTGTTTTTTTTTTAAATCAATTTCCAGACATATCTACGTGTTGGGTATTAGTTGTTTTGGCCGTAGTGAAGCAAGCGGTAGTGTGGTAATTGCCAAATCTTTAAACGAAATAATAGCAATATCATCAATTATTCCTTTTTATAGAAGGAGACTGAAAGGTGAATATGTGTGAAAGTGCACACAATTTGGTGCTTTCTTGAGTCGGTCTGAGCAGGCACGCTCCTGCATTCTGGTGACCGTATTTTTTGCTAGACTGAACAATGTGTCGTTAGCCTGGCATGCTCTTAAACATCTTAGAACGTCTTGAGATCTTTTTTTTAAAGCACTGCTCTCTTGAGCTTCTATTGCATTTGCGTTGAATTTGGAGTCATTCAACTTGTAGTTGTTTTTTTTTATTTTCAAATCGGTTAATTGAATGCACTTCTCCTCTCTTAACCACCACCCTGTTGTCCATTCCATGAGAAATGTGCCAAATCCTAAATCATGGAAGTAATGAGTCCTTTTATTGTCTTCTTCGATTTTTCCCAAACTCGTAATGGTATGTGCATCTGCTATTTCGCCATCACCTATACAGCGATGACGTGGAAGTAGGTTCATTTTCTATCGCGTTTTTTTGGCGATTGTTGAGTTGCTGTCAACGTTGTCGCACTTTTTGTATGAAATACCACCGATTACAGTTTAGCCTATTAATGTATCTACAATCCTGTCTCGGTCTTTCATCTCTCATCCTCATTTTATCAAACTTTGAGTTCACTTGCTCGATCGATAACTGTTAAAAGGCCGGGACGGTTGCTATGGTGAAAAGCTTTGATGCAACTAGCCCTGAGACCGAAAATTCTCCCAGATTGTCACTCACCAAGGCTTCTTCTATCTTTCCGACATGAGTAGATATTTATTTATTTATATCGAATGGCAGGCGTTATGATAGTTATCATTAGCCCTTTAGTTGACTTCAGGAACATCAAAGTGAAAGAAGTTGAGAGGGGGGGGGGACAGAAGAGTGTTTCAAAGATGTGAAAGAGGCAGACACAAAGGTAGAAAAAAGGTGAGGTAAGTACTGCGGAAGTAGTCGAATATGAAATGCAGTGAGGTGATGGTAGTTTGTAGTCAGAAGTCAACTGCCACTTAATAGACTTTTTTGCTTTTGCCCAGGCTGCACCACGTGGAGGTAAGTCTATCGCACATCCCCACATGAGTAGATATTACGACTGAGCTCGTGGCGTTGAATAGTATTGTTGAGAGAGAGGGAGAGCTAAATGGGACCTTTCCTTTAGCTATAAGCGACTCGCCAGAAAGTGAATGAACCCACGACCCACAAGGGGGAATTTTCCTAGTTAAACACTGTTTCTGATGGATGATTGTTGTGAAAATGGAGTCGGCTGTCTTCAGTGCGTCGATTTTGGTTTATGTCTAAGCTGAATCTTGAACCGGTTGTATTCTTGGCCAATCATTCACCTTTCTCAACCATCATTAGACATATTTGGTAAAGCTTTGAGAAATATTTTCAAACAATTTCCCCATACTTCCTTAACGTAAAATTCATCGCGACTTGATGTTACCATCCAAAAGCTATAAGTTTTCTCGCAGAAAATGTGAGTTATTACTCTGGTTTATAGAACCATTTCATCCGGGCGTAATTGATCTAATGTATGGGCCGGTTTTTTTGCAGGTTGCTTTTGCGCTACATGCTTAACCAGCCCTGTAATCTCATTTACTTCTCTACTCTTAAATGCTCTGTTTATCTAGAGTTGGTTAAAGTAATATATATTTTACATATGTTCTAATTAAAACCATGTCCTCTCACCAGAGTCTTCTCTACACCACTCTACGGTGTTCTATAGTCCCTGCTTTAAGCCCTAATGAAGTCACAATTTTGTGATTAGCCAGTCCACGTGTTGATATTTTAAAACATCATGCCTCAATTGCTCCGTTTCTCAATGATATTTATAGGCTGAGGCGCGCTGGCCCCATTGTATACAATCGATTTAGCTGCACTAGCGCTGGGCAAGCAGATCAATGAAGCTCCGCGTTTTACCACTTTAGATCATTATCCGGCCATTATCTATGACCGTATTTTTAACTCTACTATTCAGCAATATAACCATGCCGACTGGTTCACTATGCTGACTTGTTGTAATGCAGTCTGCAACTACTATTATCGCCTAACACGGTCCAATCCTCCTAACCTCTCTCTCTCCCTCCCATTCTTCTATGAGTGTCCAAATTGATTCACGGTCCAGTTACTTTGAGAGTGGTTGGTATTCTCTAAAGGATCACTTGATAACTACAAATTTTGGTTTGTTAGATTACCAATTTTACTTCACATTTGATAAAGTGCTTCTCCATGCTACGATTGGTTAAATTTGCACAAGTTAATTAGCAGCTTGCATAATCCAATTCAAGATGGTTACAGTGAGGGATAAAGGGTTTAATCGATTGTTCGGACTCTCTTCCATATACCGTGGGTTTTGTAATTTTGATTCCTTCTTTAATTCGCACTCGGAGCCTCCGTAATTACCCCAGGTTTTTTCTGTCACGTGATCCCATGGAGTTGCCAAAATGTATTCATCTCAGTATACTCACCTCCGCCTACTCACACAAGTCTATATTGGTGTTAATTATTGCAATGAGCTGCATACTGTTGTTGTTTGCGGTTGCTAAGTTACTCAAGGTGACATTCTCACCTTTACTGGTATAGAATGTGCGTTTATTAATGTCACACTTAAGCCTCTATTTCTCCCTCAAAAACGCATCTATTGTGTCCACAACCATTTAATCGTGTTTATATTATTTTGGTTTAAAAAAAGCATTACTAACAGTCCGCGTTTATATTGATTCGACAGTGGGTTTATTGATTTTTAAAATGTGATACTTGAGGAGGATGCGGGAGGTGGGGGGAGGGGGTTAGGGGGTGGTATTTTGTTTCCA